CTATCTTCAGTCTAGATTAAAACATGTTAGAAGCAACTAATATTTTTCATGCCTCATTCAAGACTCGAACGCTTTTCGAACAGTAATGAACTCACTACTTGAACAAACAAGTGCACCCTTCTAAAATTTTAGGCAACTTTAAAAAAAAATGTAGTCAGCGTTTCTCGACAAGGTGTAATTAAAGAGTAAATTTTATTTGATTGTACTATGATACCTGAAAGCAAAGTTAAGTACAGAGAGTTACCTAATACCGTAAAACAAAGAATTCTTCACTAAAACGGAGTGCCTTTGAATTTCAACAAATCTTTTTTTGTTTTTGATATGAAAGGCATCCTCAAATCATAACCAATAAATATTTATTTTTTTTCTATTACTTCAACAGTAATATAAACGTGACAACGACGCATGTGGAATGATTACTATAGCAATAATGCAACTGTGTTAACCTAAATAATGTGATATGAAGGTAGTCGAAAAGTAGTCTTTAGAAAATTGAGCAACGAACAGTACTGAGTAAAATGTTAGAACCTTAATAAAAGTTTGAAACTGAAGTTAAAAATTTGATAGCATGGAGCACACGCCTGCGATCAATGATTTTTTCTAATTCTAAAAAGATCCAAAATAACTCGAAATAGTTAGTTACTTAGGACTACAAACAGTACAAATCACGTCACTAACCAACAGTCACCGGAACAATTAAAACCCTTATTATAAGCCATCTCAACATCACTAAGATAGCACAGCTTTTGAGCACACAAAAATGCTTACATAGCACATAATACACAACGTGCCACAACACATAGAGCACATACAGCAGAATACTACACAATTAACACAAAACAAAAATTATAGATTTACTCCCAATAAAGATACAGATTTGATGACTCCAAACTACACGTTTTGCTTCCCTGAAAGTTTAAAGTTTAAATATCTGCTATTCCATAACCAAGAATTTGAGTGCAATGCAATGAGTGCAGTGCGTCAAGAAGCCAATCTTTCCAAAACATTCTAGCTGATGAGACCCCAATTTTGATTTAATAACCGCATTTAGAACTACAAGAATTCAACCGTTTACAACAAATTTGTCTTGCACCCCTACAGAAAACCGACTGGAGTCCTGTTCAAAAATTTAGATACTGCAGATATTTGTTGGAAGAAATTTTGAAAATCAGTATTAGCTAGTGCAGATAGTAGATTAAGTTAGCAACAGCACTCTTCTCTTTAAAGATGGCATAAGTAAAAATAAAAAAGATCGCTAATTCAGACAGCCAAAATGGCATAAAGTGTCAACAACAAGAAACATTTTGTTAAAGGTAGTTTTTTGAAAAGCTCATATTTAAAAAGAGCATTTGCAGACCACACTGTCACTTCTATTTCTGTATCATCTTAACACGTTCATTCTTCCTGGTTGCTTTCAGCCAGTTGATTGGCCGTAGAATCTTAAAAGTTACGGTACTAAGAGTTCTAGTCATAACAGTATATTTTATAACCTGCCAGTACTTATAATGAAAGACATCGAAAGCTAAGAAAATTTAGTTGCAATTGAGCAAAAAATCTGTAGCGTAAATAAATTGAATGTTTAGATGTTTAGATCTGTTTTCTAAAACATCAAAGCAGTATAATTTTTATTGTTTTTGTCAGACTGTTTTTTTGCACCTCTAATTAGTTATAGTTTTGTCGTTGAAATATGGTATATAATTCCTAAAAGTCTTTGCTGTAAAATTGAATTTACTTGCCAAATTATGATTTAGACTTTCTTTTCAGTATAGTACCAATCATGTTAGATCAATGAATAAAATCATCAGAGGTCTAACTTGTGACAGAAAAGAAATATCTGTTGTCATAACTAGGTGAAACTGATTTTTAAAACTTAACAATTTTTTTGTTCTGCATAACAAGATAGCCACAGATATTTCAAAAGTTAAAAAAAATTTTTTGTGCCATAA